CTGTAAAATACTGAGCAAGTGTAGCAGCAAATGCAAAATTATAGAAACCAAAACAATGTTATTTAAAAATGCATGTTACACCAAAACAATTTTTTCTTTCACATCTGTCTCCTTTAACCAGACATCAGTTTCTTCTGTCACTGAATTATGGTTTATTATTATCTCCATCTGACCTACTCATTATGTTGCTGTGGAAAAAGACAAATCCTAATTGGAGAGCTTAAATTTACTCTTAAAAATGGGAATACAGGAATTGTAAAGTAAAAAAAAAAGTCCTCTAAAAGTATCTCTCACAAATATATATATATATTTAAATATTAAAATAGGCTACCTAGGATTTTTATAAAATGGCTTTTGAAAAGATAGTAGAGGCACAAAGATGCCATATACTATCCTCCAATTGGACATAAGGTGCCACAGGGTGCCCAACAAAGAGGCAGGCAATCTCTTATCTGATGCTGAGGGAGGCACCAGCAATGACAGGAAAATCAAGGACTTGGATTGAAACCAAATTTTACTCTATAAGGGACTCTTGCTTTTAAAAAACACCTTGAAATATAAGCATTAGAAGCCATCATTTTGTACAAGGAAGAAAATGAATAAAGTATGATCTTACTCCTTCCGAGTACCTGATGGCATTTATTTCAGGCACCTGAAAGATGAAAAACAGTGCAACTTTCAATAATTTAATGGACTACTCTCAGTATGAGAGACTTTACATACATGTCAACTTGAAAATTAAATTGATAATTGAAAGAAAGCTCTTGAAGACATACTTATAACCTGATCACAGAAAAGGTTCTCTCTAGAAAACATGTTGCTAGCAACTGCAGGAAAGGTTTCCCTTCCTTAAATGAACACAGCTTCCACTAATACCAAGGGAAACCACATAGGAGATGGCTGGCTCCTCGGAAAGCAGGGAAGATTTATCCTTCCTCAACAGGTGAGGTGATGTACTTTGGTAACCTGAACACTCATTTAGAGAATGTTTTTTAACTTGTTTAACTGAAAAGTGATATTAGAATATGGTTAGACCAGCTTATAGGACAACAAAGACAACTCAATGAAGGTCATGACATTGTAGCCCCTCAAACCATCAAGCAGCAATTTTATCAATAAATCATCACAATTGAGCTCAGGATTTTAAGCTTAATCAGCAAAATTAGTCAATTTAAAAGAGAAAGGCAATAATCAAGAATTTGATTTTATAAACCAGGCACTTCAAAACTAAAATAATTTTTTTTTATGTTTTACATTTTTTTTTTAAAGTTCTTATTTTTAATCAATGGTCTGAACTCTTTTCTTTGTAAACTTATTATGTATACAGGACTCTTGGTATTAGTTGGAACTGGCCTGGGTCCTATACAGAGGGAGCTTACTTAACTAAAAGTAACACAAACACTTTAAGGCAGTCTCATTTTTTTGGATACTGCCAAGATGAGATTCCAGTAACATCACCTGACATCTCTGCAGTGACTATTAAGAAATGGAACTATTATTTTTTTCTATCACAAAAATATAATCACTAAGATGTAGTGAAAATATATACCAGCATTAGTTTAGTATGAAGTAGGAGGAAAAAAAAGTACAACTAAGATGTCACTAGCGTCTTTATCCCATAATCTGACATAGGCTTAATTCCCTGCTCAAAAATCTCAAAATATTTTTAATCTGAATATGAAATATCCAGAGTGACTGTTCCTTAGTTGAACCCGGAAACTGGCTCAATATCCACATCAATGTTTAATCTTAACCATTATTGCTTTTGAGAAATATCTTGCTGAGAATTTTACAAATAAAAATATCCTATGTGTCACCATATTCTGCCAAGCAAAATGACACTGAAAGATAAAAATGTGTATAGGCAAATAGGAATAATTTAAATTTTGACAATTTTAGCCTACAGTATTCTTAGTTGTAGGAATATCTTTATAAATATTTCTTAGATATATTTATACTAGAGCCCCCCCAATTTTGTTTCACTGCTTCAGAAAAGTCTAGTTTCTATACATTCTTGTATAGAATGTATACATTCTATACATTCTCAGTAACTTTCAAAATCTAAATATATATTATAAATAAAGCATCTTATATGTCAATAACTTAGTGAAAACCACACTTACTGCCTTTTACCAACTTTGGGTCACTTCTGAATGCAAACCTTTTAGGTTCTCCCTCCCCCCATTAGTATTGACTAGAAAACTATTCTCTTTCATTTGGATGTGTATTTCTGAGTTACAACTTCACATTTTGCAGATGAATGAAAATAGAGTAAGTGGAGTATAAAACTTTCTAATTCTTCATGAGTTGCTCAAATCTAAAACTCCTTTCAGTTAAAATATTACAGTTATAGGGCTGTTCATTTGTCAAGTAATAAGAGTAAGTCACTCCATATGGTAGACTAGTACAGAATTGCCATTACATTATATAGTAATGTATTTTCCAGGGACTACAAAGTCAAAAGAGATTAAAACATGATCTGAGAATTTTCAAAGTAAGAACCACTAAACTAGAGGAATTGATTTCTATTAAGTATGAAAATTAAGAGATAAGAGGCTATAAAAGTTAATAAAGTTAACAAAGGCTCCCAGGGAACCATTTATACATCAGGAGAGTCTGGCTCAGTAGTTACCAGTGATAAGCACATCACATGTGCTGACTAATCCATTCCAGTTATTAATATTTTAACAAAATGGAAGTTTTTTTTTTTCTTATAAACCAAAGGGCATATGTTACAACATGGAATGAATTACCGTAAGCCAGAAAGCTTGCTGAAATGCTAAAATCCAAGACTGAAAGAAGTTAAACGTTTTAGTACTTATCTCACTGAAATCAACAACTTTAAAAACTGGCAATTTAAAGTGTAGTTCACAACAAAAACTAACAAAAAAGATTACTTGAAAATCAAATTTAGATGTTTGTGAGTGCTAACCTCTATCTGCATCCATTTATAGAAAACTTAAGAAATAAAAAGTCCCATTCCATTATCACCCCTTTGTTTCTGAATTAGTACAATCATTGACACGCTAGGTACTCCCACTGTGAGAATACACTCTTAAAAATTAAAAGAGTGAGTTCAGGAGCTGTGACATCCAATATCATGGTGAATATCTTTGCTCATTTCTAAAGTATATCATACTTATTTGGTAGCTTAAAAATTGAAAATAAATGCTTTTCTTTTATAAAATGCTTGGTTTTAAAAAGGCAACTTATCCTGCATCCTAAAATTTAAGCCCTTTAAATATCAACAAAGTTACCCTCTTGGGCCTTAAGATATCTATGCTTAAGTACGCTAAGATGGAAATTTCTTTTAAGTCGAATAATACTGGTAATTTCTAATGGGTGGAATAATGTAACTGCAATGTTTTCCATATATTCTGGGAAAAATTATACATCCAGGCATCGTTCTCTTAGATGAACTTTAAATAAATCTAAGTAACACTATATACAATTATCCCTTGCAGCTTAGTTTCCTAAAACAGATTCATACGCTAAATATCCTTAAACTGTGTATCAAGAAAAATGAAGCACCTCACTGAAAAGAAAAAAAGGGCAATGTTTACATCATTTTATGTTAAATACTAGTTACCTGTATTGATAGGATTTGAGGAGTAGACAACTAACCATGTAAGCCTTTTCACATTTCTTAAACTTGGAAATCTGTACAATTTGTAATAATCAAAGAAAACCTAAAATATCCATTTGGGAAAGAACTGCCAGTAGCTTAACCTTACATTCTGAGAATATAATACCTCAGAGCTGCCAAAATTGTGCAGGGCTCTCAATGTAGAGTTCTCAGATTGTGCTAAAAAAAAGCTTTCAACCAACAAATTCCCAAATGATACTTACTTCTTTCCTCCCTTCTCCTTCTTTATTTTAATTAAATAACTCTTAGAACTGAGGGTAACAATTACTCCAGATCATAATTTTTCTTACTGTCTAAACCATGTAAGATTTTAAATATTAGCTTTAGATTAATGGTAGGCATAACAGTTTTCAAATAGTATACAAGACATTAAAAATAAAGATTCCTGACCTTTCCAGTGAGACACAACAGTACTGTTACCAAGAGGTATCAGTCTGTCACAGAAAATAATTCAAACCTATTTGTAAAAAAAGCATAAATGGTGAAAACCTATCATAACCAGAAAATGTTTTTTCCTGAAGGTAATACACCTATTGTTACATAGTGGGGAGGGGAAGAGAATAAATTATAGAATTAGCCAATTTAAAAAAACTGTTATAACTTAAAAATATATTTTATTGAAGACTAGCATCTAGATGAAGTTTTAATCTTGTGTTTTAAATAAGAAACTGCATTTTATTTCTTTTTTTCTAATGTTAATCACAGGTGCTTTCACAATTATTAAATTTTGGGTATATACACAGACACAGAGTTACTCAAAAGTTCATTGTTCATGGACTCATGAATATTAAGGATCAAGATCAGTGATGCTGTAAGGGCACCAGATGAGAAGTATACTCCAGCCTAGAGTATCATAAATTTCAACTATAAATCAGGAAGTTTTTTTTTTTTTTAGTAGCAAGAGGTGTTAAGATTTTTAGCATTTCTTAACAATTCTTTTTTTCCCAAACAAATTTATGAATCATAGATCATTTTATAGTCTTCTAATCTTTTACATTGTTGCTTTCATTGTGTAAAAATATACCAACAGCTTTAATAAACTTGGCAATGTCTAAAATTATTTTGGAACATGGACAATGTATAGCTGTCATATGGAATTTTTTAAACGATCTTAGTTGGGTTTAAGAATGTAGCTTTAACATAGAATTCTTTATTTTGTCCAAAACAGCACAATAAAATCATCCCCAACAATACATAAACCTATATATAAAATATAGACTATCTCCAATATTTTTCCTTTATATGGTAACAAACCAGTATATGCAATAGAAAGTACTGTTGATGGGGCAAAAGGAAACTAATTTAGGAATGACCTATAGAAATGACCTATAATTAGCCAGTCATTAACATTTAAAGATCAGGTAAACAATAATTTTAGTCAGAAAAGCAGCATTAAAGAATTCTCATGAAGCGGGATTTACATACTTCATTCTCCATTTCTGGTCATTTCATGCACAGTTTGACTATTCTCTATCATGGTTCTTTGCCTTCTTTCATGGAAGAGAGATTATTCGGAGAAATAGTACTATAAAGGTACAGGAAATGCCTATCTCAATACCAAATTTTCACCACGAAAAAATCATAACAGAAATGAAAAAGCTTAAAAAAAAAAAAAAAAGGAGTACACTGAATTCCAGAAGTATTTGTCCTAATAATTTTTAAGAAAGCTTACCATAAATACTGTCCAAAACAATAGACTTTATAAAATATTGTACAATGTCCTGTGTATAGAAGCAAATATCTATCCAAGTTATTTGTCTCATTCTGTTTAGTAATTTGTTTCTGGTATATCGTTTCATCTCAGGAAGGTCAATAATTATCTGATTTTTTCTTTGTCTAATGATCTATTGTTAGCATACTTTTAACAATGGAAGGAGAAACTGATAAATATTTTAAGTCTCCTTAAATCTCATAATTTCTATTGTTTCAACATCATGTTATTGTGCACTTATAGAACCAACCTCTCAGTCACGAAAAATACAATTTCAGATGCAGGGCTTACAAAGTAAAAAGGGAAAGTTTTCCCAAACCCTTTTTTGTTTAAAAAATTATAAATTAAACTTAATGTACAAGACCAAGCACAGGCACTTTCCAAAAACCAAATATGAAGCCCAACCATGAAATTACTCAATAGTTATAGAAGACAACTCTGATTTTGGGGGGTCATCTCTGGTTGCCTCTGCACAAGCACTGGTCTTTGGCTGCTCTGGCATTTCTTCCTCTTTTTCTGCCAGCCCACCAAGAGACCCCAAAGGAAAAGTGCTTTCACAATTTTGGGTCGAGGAGACCTGTGAAATTACAGGCATTTGAACAGAGGAGTTGCTTTCGAAACTGTGTTCTCCAAGATCATACTGAACAAGGGATTCTTCTTGCTCCTGGTTTAAGTAGTCCGGTACTAGGAAATCACTAGATAAGAAGCAAAGGATGAAACAGAAAGTTAATTTTCAAACCAATAATAAATAAGACACAACAAAACACCTGATTTGTAAAAAAAAAATTGGGATTTGTCATTTCCCCAATTCTCAGATGAAGATTTTAGCTCAGGGATTTTCAACTTCTAAGCTTTCCTAATGTGAAGCATATAAACCATTAAAACCAAAGTATAGCAAGTTTCTCTACCAATAATAGGTAAGATTAATTACCACCCTCAGTGTTATTTGGACACCTAAGTAGTCTTTCTTGTTCTATGTAGAAGTTTCTGTATACAATACAAATGTAACTAGCAAGCTCAATAACTTACATGTTTAACCTTCCTTGGATTACACACTAAGACATATGTAAACCTAGCTTTTTATTACTTCTTGGGTATGTTAAGTCTTTAAAATTAAATCCTTATGCACAAATCACCTTATACATAATCTACTATATAGAGAAATGTAAAAGAATAACTTATGTATATTCTGCTATTAGCTTTGAAGTATGAAAAACAGTAAAAAATTGCTTTTGAATCAGATTTTAGAAATGAATGCCAAAAGACTGGCTATATACCAGTCCTCAGAAAGTAATTTACTGATATTGAATGTCTTTAATACTCTTATATAACAATTAAATTTCATAATAATCAGTATTTATACTTGATTGTCTGGTATTAAAAAAAATAAAATCTGCTTTACTGCAAAGGCAACTTAAAATACCTTATGCTATATATTTTTTAAAAATTTATTTATTTGGGCCTCCCCGGTGGCGCAGTGGTTGAGCGCTGGGTTGCGAAGCTGCCCGCGGCCTCTGCGGCGCTGGTTCGATCCCTGGCTGCTCCCCGGCCACTGGAGGAGGGTCCCACATGGCGTGCAGACCTCTCCTGCCGCCCGCTGCTCCCCTCAGCAGTGTACTTCGGTCCTTCTGCCTGCTCTGCTCCCCGCTCTGGCTCTGGTGAATTCTCTCACCCTCCTGCGCTTCTGACTGTACCCAGTGCATGTATAAACAAACAAACAAACAAATAAATAAAAAACATGCCTCTATAAAAAAAAAAAAAATCTTAAAAAAAAAAAAATTATTTATTTATGCATACAAGACCTGGGGTACAGGCCAGAGGTACAGGGGTGAGGGGATTCGCCAGAGACAGAGTGGAGAAAGAACAGGCAGACGGACTGAAATACACTGCTGAGGGAGCAGCGGGCAAGATAGGAGAGGTCTGCTGCTCCATATAGGTTGTTCCCTGGCCAGCTGGGGATGGAACTCATGCTTCAGAGGCTGCGGATTGCTTCATAGTGCTGTGCTTAACCCCTTGTGCCACCAGGGAGGCCATATGCTATATTTTCTAAAGAGTTTTCAGGTGTTAGACAAGAGAAGTGGAGAGTGGAAACAGGGAAGATACAAACAATAGGAGTGCTTACCAGGGACACTATTCTAGTCCCAAACAATATTCGATATATGCATAATCTAGGTTTAGTGATGTGACGAGATGCTTAGAGTTAGGAATGATTAAACAAAATGAATGTCTAGTTTGAAGAGAAAATCTATGCAGGAGTTAATTTGGGATTTATTTGAAAGTAAGATTTAAAAAATAAAAATGATTTAAAATTCAAAAGTTTACAACGTTTCATTTTACAAAAGAAACTAAGGGTTCCTACAGAAGTATTATTCTGTTAAAGTATTAAAAAAAAACAGAATTTTATACCCGAGAAAACCTTAAAAAAATCATATGGAAGGTAACATTTTTATCTTTCTCTAAATTTTAAGTTTCTTCATCTATAAAGTGATATATTCAGTTACAAAAATTGTTAGTGCAAAGCTGTAGCTAGAACCTGATCTACCTGGATACCCTACAAATCAGAAAGGCAACTCTATCAAAAAATAAAAATGATACTAAAGACATGATGCTCTAAAATGAAGGAAAGGGAAATCTTCATTTGATCTAAATAGTCACACCCACTATAGTAAATGTTGTTGAAATTTCTTATTGATAAATGTATATTCCTTACCATAGAGTTAAAAAGGATTTATTAACGTCCAAAGAGTCTGATGTAATCCAATATCACTAAGTATCACTTGACATGGTAAATTTTCCAATGAGGTCTATTTAAGATCCACTATGGAATACTTTAACCTTATATTATTAAAACAATACAAAGAGGGTAAGTAGTCTACTTCTGTAGGAAAAGATTTCTAAAACCAGCCAAAAAAAATATTTATAACTATATATACTTAGAAGATTCAGCAAAATTGTATCAGATCAGGAGATCAGAGTATGACAGTGGGAATTTAAAAGGAATGTGACTGATTAGCTGGCAACCTGATTAAAAAACACAGCAGGCTGCCCTAAAAGCAGGAAAAGAGAGTTTAGAAAGAAGTTTTCCTGGTTGGGTTTTCGTTGTGCACCTCACCTGCTCTGGAAGTAGTTTGCTAGCTCTGACGCTTCATGGTTCAGACTCCTCAGGTGCACGATTAAATTTCCAGAGTTGGTGAACATGGCGCCACATGTTTTGCACTCGTAAATCCGAGGCTTGCGGATAATGTGCCGGGAAACCCTCATGTGGTGTTTATATTCCCCGAAGGAAGTGAAAGTGGCACTACATATCTGGCACCGGAAACAGCGTTTACCTTCATGCTTTAGGCGATGCATCTTTAGCGAGTATGCCCTGGTGAACTTTTTCCCACAGCGGTCACACTGAAATGGTTTAATTCCTATAAAATAAAGCAAGACAAAATGTTATCTACAAACAAAGTAAACTGCTAAGTCATAAACCCCCTAAATTTTTCATTGTAATTTTGTTTCAATATAAAATTAGCAAAAATTCTAATTCAGTATTTCAGAAAGGCACACAACATTGAAAAGTCATTACTCCTAAAAAAAGGGGGTTAAGCAAGGGAAGAAAGACACAATAGGAAAGTGTAAACTAACATAGGTATTTCAAAACATAATTTAAGCACTATTTAAAACAACCTAATTTCCCTTTGCATAGAAAAGGTAAGAAACCTTTTTTTTCCTTCCTCAGAGAGCAGAGAGAAGGAAAAAAGGAAAATTTTAACATCTATGAATATAATTATCATGACAGAACTATTATTTGATGAATTGGGTTTTTGAGTAATTAGTAGTGACAGAAAATGTGTAGAAATCAATATAACTTGGAAAGTATATTAATAATCCCCTCCAACTCATTCTTGGCAAAAAATTAAAAATCTTCAAAATACAATCTGTTGATTTAACAATGTCAAAGGGAATTGGTTTTAGGTCTGAGACCATAAAACTATGTACAGAGAAGTGAGATAATATAGCTGACAAACGGTAGCAAAGATTCCTTTTCATCAGAGGTCAGTGTTTTACCCACTAGCATTTTGTTGCCTTCATGTGATCACTGAACTTAAGTTTCAAATATGTTATACATCATTTGTCCAAAATCTCTCTTTTTTTAAAGATTTATTTTTGTACAAGAACTGGGGTACAGGCCAGAGGCACAGGAGGGTGAGAGGATTCACCAGAGACAGACTGGGGAGCAGAACAGGCAGACGGACCGAAGACCCTGCTGAGGGGAATGGCGGGAGAGGCAGGAGAGGTCTGCTGCGCGATGTGGGAATCTCCCCGGCTGGCCGGGAATCGAACCCGCACTGAAAAGGCTGCGGACAGCTTCACAGTGCTGTGCTCAACCCACTATACCACCAGGGAGGCCCCCAAAATCTTTTTTATACTAAACAAAACAACTACAAAGCTGACTAAATGAGGGCATGGAGAAATTTAGGATTGAAGAATTAAAACTGTCATTAAATTTTTAAAAAAGATTTTATTTATTTTTGCAAAGAACTGGAGCGTAGGCCAGAGATGCAGGGGGTGAGAGGATTCACCAGAGACAGAGTGGAGAGCAGAGCAGGTGGATTTACTGAAATACACTGCTCAGGGAAGCAGCGGGTGAGACAGGAGAGGTCTGCTGCACTGTATGTGGGTTAGCTCCCTGGCTAGGGATCGAACTCAAGCAGTCAGGGTGATAACTCTGAGACTTAATCCCTAGGCCATCAAGGAGGCCCTGTTATTAAGTTCTTTAAATCAGTTTATTTGGAAATAAATTCAAACAGAAAGAGAAGTTATAAGAATAGTACAAAGAGCACCAATGTATACTTTTAACTTCATTTGCTTTATAATCTCTATGGTACATCTCTCTCTCTCTCTCACACACACACACACACACACACACACACACACACATATATACAAATCTAATATAGCCAGTATATTTATTTCTTTAATGATTATTTATGCATACAAGAACTGGGGTATAGGCCAGAGGTGTGGGGTGCTGGGGATGAGAGGATTCACCAGAGAGTGGGGAGCAGAACACGCAGATCTACTGAAATACACTGCTGAGGGGAGCAGCAGGTGAGACGAGAGGTCTGCTGCGCCATGTGGGTAGCACTCTGGCCTGCTGGGGATTGAACTCATGCTGCAGTGGCTGCCAACAGTTTGATAGTGCTGTCTTTAACCCCTGCGCCACCAGGGAGGTCTCTGATATCTTTAATTTAATATTACATATATTCCCTCTCCAAGTTTTAAACAGAACATGGCAATGTATTAAACAAATAGCATTCTGATATTGCACCATTTCAGCAACATGCCTGAGGCTTATCTGTTCTCATTTAACTTCCTAGATACTTTAAACTCAAAAATCCCATTTCCTGTATTTACCTGGAATGTTAAAATAATGTTTTAGAGCTCTCATTTACACAATAATAGGAAAGATGACATTACCTGAGTGGATGAGCATGTGCTGTTTTAGGTTCTGAATACGGGTGAATCGCACCCCACAAGTTGGACACTGAAAAGGTCTATCGGGACCATTTGGACTTGGTCGTTCTGTACTGCTGGTAGAAGGAGCAATGTAGAGTTGGTAGGGATACTGAACATTTTCCAATCTAAAAAACAGACCAAAGAAGGCAACCAGGCTCTGATTTTTAAGTTGAATAAACATTTCTGCACAACTTTAAATGAACAAAAGAAAAAATACAATGTCTTTTTAAACAACTGTTGGATTACAAGTTTCATTTATAGCAAAATGAAAAACAATAGTATTGCCCCAAAGGCCAGCATCTTAATATTCAAGGATGTATGACCACAGAACATATTAAAATCAATTTACTTAGGGATCCTTAATTTCTCTGGTCCTTTCTTTTTCACTGCTGCTGTAATTTAGACCCTCATCAGTGCAAGGCAGAATGAGAAACTCTCTCCTTTGGTACCACACCAATCCATCCAGCTGTTTCACAGTGACTTTTGATTAAGATAATCCCCTGTTTAAAATCCCACAATGGTTATCTTCAACATAAAGTCTAAACTCCCTTTGTAAGGTATATAAGACTCCTCATGATCTGGATTTTGGGTTCTTTTCCAGTCTCATTTCTTGTCATACCCCTCCAAACACATTCTATAGCAAACAGGTCCTCTTTATATATACATACATTTTGTACACTTAACTTCTATTTGCCTACATTCTTTGCCTATTTAACAACTATCCATTGTATAAAGTCTAGCTAAGAAGTCATTTCCCTGCATAGGTTAACTTCCTATGCAGAAGAAGAGAACTATATGCAAATCACTTATAATCATCGGTTTACTTGTCTATCTTCAAACTTTCTCCCTTCCCCCAAATTGGTTAGATCTCTTTGAGAGGAAGGGCTATACATTTCATCTTTATATTTCCACCATTTAGCACAGTACCTAGTATGGAACAGACAACCTCATTATTATTTGAAATTAAGGAATGTAGGTACAATTCTTTTTAAGCTTTCATTAATTTATTCAAATGACTGATTCATTTAATTTTATTCAAATAACCTATTCTACCAAGGGTAGCTATTTAAGAACAGTTAACCTTGTTTGAATTCCTTTAATCCTTCAAGTATTCAACAATTACAGTTTTTAAGTCTGTTCTACATGCTCTATGAGGAGTTCATTCACACAGTGGGGTCTATATTCAGTGATCAGAGAGTCAATAAATACCCAGGAATATTATCAGAACAGAGAATTAAAACAGGGTGACTGAATAGTGATTAGTGCTATTTTATTTTAGACTGGTGGCTAGGAAAAGCTTCCTTGAAAACTGACATTTAAAAAGTGAACTAGAGGTCAAAAAAGAGGTATCAAAGTGAAAACCAGGGGTGAAAGCATTTCAGGCAGAGTAAAGATTCTAAAGCGGCAGAAAAGCCCAAAGCATGAACAAACATGAAATATTCCAGGGTAATAGTGTTAGAATGTAGAATGCAAGGAGAATGGGCTGAAGGGAGTGCGGCAGAAGTCATACCATGCAGTCCTTAAAAGGCATAGAAAGTTGGTGGAAAGAGGGGGAGGAGGAGAGTGGAGGATGTGACAGTGTATTGGAACTTTAGTGGAGGGTGGGTGAAGCATGTGAACATGTTGAGGTGTGGTTGTACCCCTAATATTATAATTATGTAAATGAATAGAAATCAATAAAATTTGATTTAAAAGAGGCACAGAAAATTTAGATATGAATTTACTGGAATGTTTTAAGAAACTAATGCTTAAAAAAGCAACATAAGGGCCTCCCCGGTGGCGCAGCGGTTGAGCGCTGGGTTGTGAAGCTGCCCGCGGCCTCTGCGGTGCCGGTTCGATCCCCGGCTGCTCCCCGGCCACCGGAGGAGGGTCCCACATGGCTTGCAGACCTCTCCTGCCGCCCGCTGCTCCCCTCAGCAGTGTACTTCGGTCCTTCTGCCTGCTCTGCTCCCCGCTCTGGCTCTGGTGAATTCTCTCACCCTCCCGCACTTCTGACTGTACCCAGTGCATGTATAAACAAACAAACAAACAAATAAATAAAACATGCCTCTATTTAAAAAAAAAAAAAAAAAAAAACATAACCTGACAATAAAAAAAAAAAAATATTCTGGCTGCCATTTTGAGAATGTAATAAGGGAGAATGAAATCATAAGTTCGTTGAAGGCTACTGCATTAGTCACGGCAAAAGATGATCATGTTTTGAGGTAGGGTGATTATAGCAGAGATGAAGGAAAAGTGGACTGGTAAGGGATATATTTTGGAGACAGAAGTTGAGCTGACAAGTCTTGCTCAAGGATTAAATAGGAGAATGGGGTGGCCATGGAAAGGAGAATATAAAATTATTCCCAGAGATATTGCTTGAGAAGTTGTGGAGATGCTCTTGCTGTTTAATGAGATGAGCAAGACTGGAGGAGTTGTCTTTGAAGGGGAGTTAGAAGTCTAGAGTTAGGTCTTGACCACATTACCTCTCAAATGCCTCTTATACAGCTATGTGGAACCAATAAGTATGGAGGGACAATCTCAAGATTAACTTGAAAATTATGGGTATAGTGATGAGGATTTGACAAACTTTCTATAGCAGGTCAGCCAGTAAATATTTCTGACTTTGCATACCACATGATCAATTTTGCCATCAATGGACAATGTGGAAACAAATGTGTGTAACTATACTCCAATAAAACTTGATTTACAAATAAAGATGGTAGACTGGGTTGGCCTGCAGTCCAGCTTGCTACTCCAGATACAGATACTATTTAAAGTGGAGGCCTGGGTAGTTTTGGAAAAGCCAAAAAATACCCTTGTGAAGGTGGTCTAATTTATTATGTGGTGATGCTACCTCATCCGAAAATTGTTAAAGTGGGGTCCTAATAAGCTTTTTTTTTAAAGGTTTATTTATGCATACAAGAACTGGGGTGTAGGCCAGAGGTGCAGGGGGTGAGAGGATTCACCACAGACAGAGTAGGGAGCAGAACAGGCAGACGGACTGAAGTACACTGTTGAGGGGAGCAGCAGGTGAGATGGGAGAGGTCTGCTGCTCCATGTGGGTTAGCTTCCTGGCCTGCTGGGCATTAAACTGCTGCAGTGGCTGGCAATAACTTGATAGTGCTGAGATTTAACCCCTGCGCCTCCAAGGGAGACCCCCCCAATAAGCTTCCTATATAACCCCCATATAAAATGCTTGAATTTAAGAGTTGCAAGCACAGCCATCACAAGAAAACCACATACTATGTCAGTACTAACCGATCATCATCATCAGCATGAGCATTCGTTGCAGAGGTGCTCTGAAGTGTAGGCAACCCTTCGGTGACACCTTCATCTACTGAGCCTGTGAATAAAAGAACAGCTGTTAATACTCTGGTGTAAAAAAAAAAAAAGGTAGTAACTGCAAGTTGTAGCTACAAGCCTCAAACTCAGATTATATGATGTGTATATCAAATCATATTAAATCAAAATAGTAATGTTCTATATATTTACTTGTTTTATATTACTGTTGAAATTTTTTTAGAAGTCTAAATTTCAGAAACAGAGCAATGCAAGTGTAAACAAAACAAATTCACATAAAATTAAATGTTATCACTACTCAAGCACTGAAAAAATTTTTTAAAAACTTGTTTTATTGTGATATACAACTCACTGTACATACAACTTTTATGCAGAGGTCCTAATAACACATCACCAGAATCTCAGAAGTGATTTACCCTTCTCTGATCACAAATCCCTCCTCCTCCTAATAGAGAGCCATTCTCTTGTCTATTATGGTTATCCTTTCCTTCCTTCTCTTCTGTCCCCTTTCCTTTTAAAAGTAATTTTATCTCAACTGCATGTACCCATAAACTAGGAGTTGGTTCTTGCTGGAACATAGTCATGCACCATCTATTGTTGTTTTCACATTACAGTGGCAGAGGGGAGTAGCAGTTGCAACAGAAGTCATGTTGATAATTAAGTCTCAAATATTTACTATCATGCCCCTTAAGGGAAAGTCTGCTACCTTCATTATAAATAGCAATTTTGTGTTGCCTGGTTGCAAACTTCATATAAATTCAATACTGTGGCTTCATTCCTGTTGTTACATGTACATGAAATTCAAACTGTTGCTGCACAAAATTAATTTATCCTTTTCACTCAGTTTCAGGCTATTATGAACAATGTTGCTGTGAATATTCTTGTTCAAGTAACTTAATGGGTATAAATGGTTTATTCTAGGTTACCTACATGGAGGAATTTCTGGGTCATAGTATACATAGATCTTTGACTTCTTTTCCAAAGTGATTTCACTGAATTTACATTATCACCTGCAATACATGAGTCATGTTCATCTACTTCTTCATCAATTCTTGATATTGTTGCATTTTTACAAATTTTGCCAACCTAGAAGGGATGTAGTAATATTTCTTGTGGCTTGAGTTTCATCTCTCTTATTACTACTGAGGGTGAACACCTCTCTATTGAATGCCTCTTTTGTGAAATGCCTGTTGAAGTTTTGTTATTGTCTGCTTTTTATTATGAGTTATTTTCGTATTTAAGAAATAAACTCTTTGTCAGTGATACATTATATTTTCTCTTCTTCCATGGCTTGTTTTTAAAATCTTGTTTCTTCAAAATTTTAATTTTCAACTTATTAAATAATTTCCTTTATGGTTACAACTTGTCTTGTTTTAAAAAATCTTTCCCTATCTCTCAGGTTATAAGATTTATTTTGCCCTTGACATTTAGGTCTTTAATCCACCTGGAGTTGATTTTGTGACTGAACACTTATTAAAAGTCTGTTTTTTCTTCTCTGCTCTGCAGTGCCATTTCAATCATGTATCAACTGTATATAAATGCATGAATCTGTCTCCATTTGTCTACTTCCATCTGCTTGTCTGGACTTGCATTAATGTCAATCTGTAGTTACTACAACTTTATAATAAATCTTGTTATCAGGTAGAGTAACTCCTCTCACCTTGTTCATGTGCTTCCTAAACATTGTGGCTATTTTTGGTCCCTTGAATTTCTCTATACATTTTTACAATCAGCTTGTTGAATGAATGTGATAATCATCATCCCATTTCTACCATTCTTTTAGTTTGGAATCATGTAATTTTTTCCTATTCTTATTAGTTACTTCAGAAACTAGGCACATACTTATCAAAGTCTAAAGTCAAACAAAATTGTTACCTTTTCCTGCATAATGTATGGATCTAAGAACACCTTAATTCTTCCATTTCCCACATATTTCCTTTTGCAACTGACATTGTTTGATATTTTACTTAATTTTGATAAAACTAAGACATATTACTCCTTGATACAAGCAATGTTTATTTACATCTGTCCATATATTTACCTTTGCTCTTCATTTCTTCTTGTATATTAGTTCTTCATCTGTGCTCATTTCTGACTGAAGTCCATTCTTAATTTAGTAATGATTTGTTTTCTTTGAAAATTTCCTTATTTTTCTTTCATTTCTCAAAGATATTTTCACGGTGTATATACCTCTAGATTGACAGTTATTTTCATTCAGCTCATTGAGGATGTCATCTCACTAGTTTCTGATGCTAATATTGTCAGATGTTTCTTCTGAAGGTAATACTCATTTTAAAAATCTCTTAACATTCTAAGTTTCTTTTTTTAATTTATATTTGGGATTTGCTGGTCTCTAATCTATAGACTGGTGTCTTTCATCAATTCTGTAAAATCCAGTCACTGTCTCTTCTCCTTTTCTCCACACTGCAGTCTCTACCACTCTTGTCTCTGTGATGGCTAATTTTATTTATGAACTTGGAATACAATAGTCCTGCTTCTCTGGCCTAGGGATTTGGACTGGAATTAATACCATTTGCCCCAGGCTCAGGTTTTCTTGGGACTCCAGCTGGCATATTATGGGACTTGATGGCCTCCATAATCCTGAGTGAACTCCTCCTAATATATCTCTTCTAGATATCAATCTATGTCCGATTTATTGCTTTTCTAAAGAACCTTCATTAATACAGTTTTTCTCTGTGCAATAAACAGATTTCTCTAATTCTATCTTCTTCATAAATCCTTTCTTCTGCTAAGGACAATCTGCTGCTAAAATGTTGACTAAGATTTTTGTTTTATTTTTCTTTCTTTCCTAAAAGCCCTGTTTGGTTTTTTCCCCCAAATCTGTTATATTAATTTTTATAGTTTATTACTCTTTGCAATTATTACTGAAACTTGTTTGTTAAACATAGTAAACAAATTTATCCTATATCTGTGAAAACTATGCCAAACAGCTATGCCAATTTATTTCTGCTGTTTGTTTTTCCTCTCAGTTGGTTTTCTCCGTCATGTTCCCTTGCATGCTGTGGATATTTTTGACAGTGGTTGCTGCCCATGAAATGATTTACAGAGGATTGATTTGCTGAGGTTGGGATGAATATACCCTATTTTCAGAGAAGTTTGTTTCTGTGAGGGTCCTGGAGGGCACTCCCTAAAACGAATTCACTGATTCCTTGACCTACCTGATCAAGGAATGATCAGGACATAAATCTGCAAGAAGCTGGTCAATGGTCACAACTTAGGGATGTGTTTTTCCCTTTTCCCTTTCATTTTGTAGTCTGCCCAATTCCCTGGTAGTTTTTTCTACAGTCCCCTGGAGTCTGGAGGAAGGGTAACAGGTTTAGTTCTAGTGATAAAGAAGGACTTTGGGGTACCTAGTTAAGTGTGGGGCAACTTTTCTGAGATTAACTTTCACATGCTGTGGGCCTTGCCTCACTTGAGTTGATGAACTAAAACCCGTTTGTTTCGGCAAGTATCTTAGGAAAAAACTGCTCTCTGAAACTATTATTCAAACTTTTAGTGTTCAGAAAATCTACTTACCTTTCTGGGTCAGGTGTCCTGTCACCCTAAATTTAACCTGGCAGGTGCTTGACTATCTTTACAAACACTTTTGAAGTGACCTTTAAAAGTGTGTGTGTATATGTTCTTAAGTGTTTGTTTATTAGTGGGAAGGTAGATAGAAACAACTTAGCTTATTCTTATTAGGTACTGAACTCTGTCAATATTATTACATGCAAATAGGCATATACCATGTAAATTTGAGTTGCCTGAAGTTGTATAGTACATGAATAGTGAACAAACTTTTGTTTGCAATATTTTAATGAAAAAATGTACATTTTGTACTGACACCTTATACAACATCATATACATGCAACATTTAATAAATATCTGCTAAGAGACACACAGAATAGAAGTTCCTTCTGATGAAAATACTTTTTTCTTTGCAACATTGAATTAGTTGAAATTATATAAAATGAAATTTCCACTTACATAAAAATTTCCAAAAAACTAACCTAATCCCTTTTAAGAAATCAAAAAAAAATTTTTTTTAAAAAGATTTATGATTGTATACAAGAGCTGGGGTACAGGCCAGAGATGCGGGGGGTGAGAGGACTCACCAGAGACAGAGTGGGGAACAGAATGGCAGACTGAAACACACTGCTGAGGGAAGCAGTGGGTGAGACAGGAGAGGTCTGCTTCACATGTGGGTTGCTCCCTGGCCGGCCGGGGATCAAACTCGTGCTGCGAGGCTGCGATTGCTTCATAGTGTGGTGCTTAACCCCTTGCGCCACCAGGGAGGCCCCAAAATTAATTTTGAACATCATCTGAGCTAAAAATTTGGCAGTGTTACATCTTGCTTTGACTTAATCTTTACCAGACTATGTGTGTTCATGTTTAACCCTAACAGCACCCCCATTTGTCCTGTGCCTACCTTTCTAATTTATTCCTGATCATTCTGATTTGTTTTTAACACAGAAAAGTGGTTTAAAAGACAGATAATGCTGCATTTTGCTTAAGAAAAAACTTCATTTGTCAATATCTTCTCATTCTCACTTTCCTTAAAGAAAAGTGAACTTTAAACATTATCATTTCAATCTGTCCTAGGATACAGACTGGAAATTTCCAGCATTTGGAAGTGGTCACCATAGACACACAAAAACACCTGTTTTATAGTAATATTTCAGTTTCTAAGCAAAGATTTGCATAAAAGCTAAGGTGTGATTTTGGGCAGGCCAAGAAAACTGATATAATTTATATCTTCTCCTTGCCATCAGGGAAGTTATACTACTTTTAGGAGGAGGGGAAGTCTTGATGAGGTTGAAATAAAAAATACTCCAATTTGGATTGATTCTAGTATATAAAGGATTTGTTTTAATAAGCTGGTGAAAAAGAACTAAAATGGAATAAAGGTACATTTAGCAGATGGTCCCATGGTCCCTCTTAAATCCATTTCACATTATGATATGCCTTGACCTCTGGGAGTGACCATGGGCTATTAAATGCACCAAAAGCTAATAAAAACAAAAGCCACTCCAAGCTAAATTA